TCACTTTGTTGTCCATGCTGGACACAGTGGCCCAATCTCAGCTTACTGCAACCTCTGCCTTCTGGGTAAGTGATTCTCATGCCTCAGCCTCCTGAATAGCTGTATTACAGGCATGTGCCACCATGTCCAGCTAATTTTTGTATTTTTACCAGAGATAGGGTTCCACCATATTGGCCAGTTTGGTCTCAAATTCCTGGCCTCAAGTGATCTGCCTGCCTCAGCCTCCCAAAGTGCTGGATTACAGGTGTAAGCCACCGTGCCCAGCTCAAACTGAAGGTATAATCGATTTTTTAAAAACACAACGTATAATTAAAAGATTCAAAAGGAAGTACTTGCTGATACTTGTCATATTATCAGAAGAGCCTTATCTCAACAATATATATTATTATAATTTCTTAAGGAGGAATTAATCTTACAAACCAACAGTAAAAAAAAAGTATCAACAGGTTTCTATGTTTTTTTAACAGTACACAGACTAAGATGCCAGACAAAGAAATTCCTTTAAAAAAGAAGTTTGAATACTTGGGAAACAAATTTCCTTATTAGAGTTTTGATGAAATAAAGGAAGTTATCATAGGAAAATGTAGCCCTGCAATTTCAGGCTTAGAATATGAAACAAGGCCGGGCGCGGTTGCTCAAGCCTGCAATCCCAGCACTTTGGGAGGCCGAGGCGGGTGGATCACAAGGTCAAGAGATCAAGACCATCCTGGTCAACATGGTGAAACCCCATCTCTACTAAAAAAAATACAAAAAATTAGCTGGGCATGGTGGCGCGTGCCTGTAATCCCAGCTACGCAGGAGGCTGAGGCAGGAGAATTGCCTGAACCCAGGAGGCGGAGGTTGCGGTGAGCCGAGATCGTGCCATTGCACTCCAGCCTGGGTAACAAGAGCGAAACTTCGTCTCGAAAAAAAAAAAAAAGAATATGAAACAGAGCATTCACCAAATGCCAAGTTTTCAGCACACATCATACAAAACAATATCTTCTTTATTCAAAATTTTTTGGTACTAAAGTTTCTAATCTGTTTCTGTTTCCCAACGAAGTTGTGCCAGGTAAAATTAGATTTGTACAAAACTAGTTATGAACATTGTATCCTCCTAAAGTAGGGAAGTTTACTCTAAGACTTAAAGCAAACACACATGCTCTTAGAGTAAACAAGGAAAATCTCTTTTTACCTAAACTATCAGGTGTTGCTGCACTGTCAGCAAAAACTCAGAAATGAAAGTGGGGAAGAGAAACCAAAATAAAAAGTATATAATGAAAAAATAAGTCAGGCATGGTGGCTCACACCTATAATCCCAACATTCTGGGAGGCCGAGGTGGGTGAATCATTTGAAGTCAGGAGTTCTAGACAAGCCTGGCCAACATGGTAAAACCCCATCTCTAAACTAAAACTAAAAAACTAAAACTACAAAAATTAGCCAGGCATGGTGAGCACACCTGTAATCCCAGCTACTAGGGAGGCTGAGGCTGGAGAATCATTTGACCCTGGGAGGTAGAGGTTGTGGTGAGCCAAGATCACGCCACCTCACTCCAGCCTGGGTGACAGAGTGAGACCCTGTCTCAAAAAAAAAAAAAAAAAGAAGAAGAAGAAAAGAAAAAGGAAAAAAAAAACTGTGAGAAAAATTTGTTTTCATTGCCAATCAGTTAAATGCATATATAACAAGAAAAGCAACCTCAAGAAAATATAAGCTAACAGTACGTTCTTAATTTTATACCATTGCAAAAAAAATGCTTTAAATCTATAAATTATCAATGATATATCTTTGCTGTTAGTAAGAAGTACTACAGGCCCTCAGTGCAACAAATGTTTTCAGCAGTAAAACCTGACTTAAAAAAAGAAGGAATGCTGTTAAGACACAATGTTGTTCTGCCTACTGCAGGGTCATATAAAATAGAAATAAAGCCTTTTGATCGTTTATCTATCAAAAACATGAAAATCCTTCTTTCTGCCAAGCATTAATAATTATTATGGGAAGGCCCCAGAACAATATAGTAAAAACCGGGGAGTGGCAGAAGCATAGTGCAGACAAGTAAACTAGGTTTGTCCACAAAAGGTGATGACATCATTTCAGCATAATGAAGAAGAGACATAAACAAGTACTAGCAAGCACCTTTTAAATAACACCTACAGATAAGTGGCCACTATCACCTGGCAAGTAGGGAAAACAGACATACCCTCACATATATGTTATTCTATTGAAGCAGGAGCCAAATACCACAACCATCTTTTAAAAAATGTGACATCATTAGCAATGCCCTATGCTCAGTCCCTCCTTCCAGAGCTTATTATAAATTTTAGGTTAAATCTAGTCATTCTTTCTACAACTCTGTACAATTAGAAAAAAAAAAAAAAAAAAAAAAAAAATCACATCTAATACCCAGAATTCCCCATTCCTTCTCCCTGGTTTCCTTAATGTAGCCAGCATCTGGTACATCACCACTTAGAAAAGAGGAAGTAAGAAGCTGGTCTAAAGAATTTCCACCAGCTCCCAAGGAAAAACAGCTTTCATTCTTGGGCATGACAAAAGCTAGGAAGTTTTCTAAGGAAAACGGGCCTAGAAGGGAAAATGTCACCCAGACTAGAGTTGGACCAGTGTCTGGGATCAGCTGCTGCTAACAAAAGGCTAGCAAATACACTTCTTGAAAAAAGAGGGATTTAAAAAATTGTGTTATCTTTCTAAAAGTTCTCAAGTTTAGCATTACCAAGTTAGGGAGATGAAAAGCTGGTGGTAGCAGTTGCTCCTATAATCACTAACGGTCTCAGGATGGGAAAACCCAACAGTTTTTCTACCCCAGTTATGCAAGGCTAATTTAGATGAAGAGCTGCACTCTTTCTTTAGTTGCCAAGTATCAGATTTTACATCAACCTAAGAAGGGAATAAATAACTACCTGCTCTATTTCCTAGATGTGCTTATGTAAATAAAATGACAAAAGCATTCATGTCCTAATACTGAAACCTCATCAGAATCTCCAAGGGAAATTAAAAAGGGAGGTCTTCATGTGTACAGAAGTAAATTTACCCCAAATATCAATCTGTAAAAAGGGGACAAAGAATAAACAGCAGTTGCATTCCAGCAGACCTAGAAGGAGAAAGATGGATCTAAAAATCAGATTTATGGCTGACAGAGCCTTTGCTGATTAAAAGAACGAATGAACGAAAACATTAAAAACAGGTTTAAGGATATTAGTACCATACAGGGAAGAAGGGGTGAAAGAGCCAATGACACCACTGTGTGTGTGTGTGTGTGTGTGTGTGTGTGTGTGTACTCACGCACGCGTGCATAGCTCAAGAAAATGCAACAAAGAGGTTAGAAGGAATTCTAACTTCAAGATCTACTGCACTCACTGCAAACTAATAAATCCTATTTAGTCAATGTTATATATTGTTTTATATATAATATATAAAAGGGTATTAATTTTTATTCTTAAAGATGGTCACTCAGAACCTCCATAAATTCTAATGTCTTTATCTGAATCCCTTCTGTAACTATTTGTGATTTTGAATAAATTTCCATATCTAAAGTATTTTACCTGAAGTGGGAAAAATAAGACTTGAAGTATTCTCAGTAAGAAACAAATGATTTCATTTTCAGACTAATCAGTCAGTTAGAGCAGGCTAAGATGGCCAAAACCAAACATGGAATTTTTAAAACCCTATGTGATAATAAATCAAGTGCATTCCCTTATGTAAACTGTCTTGCTACAGATATTCTTCTAAAACATACTGGGTCTTAAGCTGTTTTCCTAAGTGTATTCATACCTATATACTCCTATATGGTTCATAATTCACAGATGTGAACTAGATAGGATGAGGTAGGCAATCCATACGCAAGCAGACCAAAATGAAGCTATAAGCCTGTCTGAAATGTGAACTCATAACCTTTGTCTCATTAGCACTGCACTCCAACTGTTAAACGATTCAAACATCTACTTGGATTTGAAAAGAGTGGGAGGCAGTGAAATACTAACAGGGAGAAAATTTATGGAGTCTATGCAAAATTTTCTATTAATGAAAACCAGCTGCAACAACAACAGACGCTGTTTTCAGTATTTGAGGCTGGTGGAATACTAATGGGTTTCTTCTATTCCAAGTTTCCATTTTGGAAGCAAGGCTTTTTAAATCATTATTCCACTCAGAGTCCTGGGCACTCTACAGAATTACCTTTCTAAAACAACTGTTCTAGAGTCTAAATTTTCTGTCCATTAGACGTATACAATGTCTCTCTGAAAAGCCATTTAAAGCCATCCTTATATGAGAAGTTTCCCCCAAAGGAAAATTGAGATCCTAACTCTGTTTTATCTATGTTATCCATAAGATCTGTAGCAAAGTCTAATTCAAAGTTGTTAATTTTAAAATTAACACCAATATCAGGGATATATGCCACTAACAAAACATTGTGATAAAATATTCATCACTGATTATTTTTACCATAATCTACTTGATTGCCACAAACTTAATTTCCACAGTTTGGTACATACTTTTTCCCAAGCTTTGGTTAATTAGTCTTATTCCCACACAGCCCATAAATCAATTTTACAATTGTTTGCATGTAACCATCATATTTAATATATTCTACCATCTGCCCCAACACCAATAACTGCAATAAGATATATATACATATGGGCTTTGTTTTCCTAACTTAGGACAGCCAATTCTTCCAGTATAGATCTTACATAATTTTGGTTTGCAGAAATTTCCCCTAGGAAATTCAGGCAGTGGCTTTACCCAAAATGAGGAAAATCATTTACATAAGCTTTTAAGACTAGAAACTGATCAACAACCGTTTCTCATACATACATCTCTCTCTATCCTAGGATTATGTGGGAGAGAATATATTATGCCCAGAATCATGAAGGTTGAGTAAAATTTCTGTAAAAGGTACCTTTGGCACCCCAGAAAACTGTTAAGAAGTAAGCATATCTGTACTCAAATTACTATACTATTGACTCAAAACCCATTAAAAAGTGGCTTCAAAATGAAAAAGCAAAAAACAAACCTCAATTTTGTCTGTTTTGGCATCTCCCCAGTATATTTTGCCTTCATCATAATCCAATGCTAAACCATTTGGCCAACCAAGAGAAGTGTTAACCAATACTACACGGTCAGAACCATCCAGAGCTGCTCGTTCAATTTTCGGAATTTCTCCCCAGTCAGTCCAATACATGTACCTATAGAAGTATACAAAAAATTAGCTAAAAATAGATAATAAAATATAACTTTCAGATATTCTAAAGGTGAGATCCACTCCTCCTATTACACTGGTATCATCAGTTAATGCCATAGACAGGAAAAAAAAACATATGAAGAGTATGTTTAAGACATTTATCACAGCAGTATATAAGATTGCAGGAAATTTTCAAATCAAACAGCGTGTTCTAGAGCCAATCCTGAAAATGCCTCCCAATAATGAGATGCCAGTTTTACTTCTTTTTTTTTTTTTTTTTTTTAAACATTTTGTGCCCTTTTCCACGAACTTTCTCTCTTCCTTCACGGCTTGTCACCTCTGGCACAAAAGGCTTATCCCAGCAATATGGGTCAGATGGCAAACTGAATTATAAAAATAACAATTTCTTCCTGCAGTGCTAAGTGATTCTTATAGCTCCTGGATGTTTAAGTGGCTCTAAGACATTGATATATACTGAAGTGTAATTTATCACTATGCTCGTCCTCAGAATATTGCAGTAACAATAAAATTGTTGAGTATGTAAGAAGTTGTACTTCACTAGACTATATAGTCAGGGTGGCATGGCAAAATGAAACAAACAAACAAACAACAACAACAACAACAAACTAGGAGTAAAGTGCATGGCCTGACAAAGTTTTGGAATTCAAGTCATTCACGTATTTAGGGAAACATAAAGTAAGCTATATTCTTACTATAAAATACTTAAAATGGAATTGAAACTTCCAGGGGAAGGGAAAGAGTTCTGAAAACAATTTCTTTCCACATTTTTCATGGTAATGATGTAATCTGAGCAAAATCTGCAGACAACACCCAAAGTCAGCAAACACGGACTTAATTTAGAAAGAAAAAATACCTAAAACATCCAAGGCAAAACACTAGCAATTTTTTTTAACTTGAGATTATATTCCAATCACCTGTTTATTAGAAACCAATATATATATCATGTTATTTTAGTTAATGTTTTTAGGAACCTGTGTAAAACTGAAATATCACACAGAATTTACTAACAGTAGAGCTTCTTACCCAACCATGGGATCTAACACAATAGCCCGGGGTTCTTCCAAGTCCTCTGAAATCAAGATCTTCCTCATGGTCCCATTGAGCCTTGTCACTTCTATTCGATCAGTGCCAGTGTCTGTCCAATAAAGATTTCGTGCAATCCAGTCCACGGCAACACCATCAGGATGGGCAATCTGAGCAGTGACCACAAACTGACTGCCAGATCCATCTAAGAAAGAACGGCGTATGGCCCTCACTTCATCATCAGTCCAGTAGATGTAGCCTTCCACAGGATCGTAATCTATGGCAATGGCATGACGGATGTCTTCTAACTGCAGAACAATGTCTGTAAAATCTGGTGTATCCAAAGAAATGCGTCTCAAGTCTGTCCTTCGAGCTAAAAGCAGTAATTCAGTGGCACCTAGAACAACAAAGCGAAATGGAAAACAGTTTGAAACCCAGAGGTAAAATTTATCCACTGTAAAGAATCAACTGAAAAATAAATATAAAACATATATTAATTATATAAATTAACATATAAGGACATGAGCTCTCTTTAGAGTGGAAATGGAAGGTAATGCAGTGAAACAGGGAGAGTCTACTCTGAGGGCAAGCTGTTTAACAACTAAGTCTTCAAATCAAGTTGTGTCACACTCTACGGTTTCACTGATGCTACAGCTTCTGGAATTAATCCAGCTATTTAAAAGTACAATGAATAATGACTATGTAATGACTAAGTAGCTGAGTATTAAAGGAGAAAGAGATGTAGGATACAGAGTCTTTGTTCAAGAAGAAATTTTTTTAAAAAAAGAAATCTAGGACAAGGATCTTTGTGGTTGATAGGAATGTTCTAAAATTGGATTATGGTGATAACTGCATAAGTCTATAAATTTACTTTAAAAAAAAATCACTGAATTTTACACTTAAAAAAATGGATGGATTTTTATAATGGTATGTAAGTTACATCTCAATAAAGCTGTCTTAACAAAGAGAAATACAAGGCAATACCTCACAGAACTTAGGACAAAGCAAGCTATGGAGAAGTAAACAGCAGCAATAGAGGGAAGAAACCAGATAAACATAACACAGTGGTTAACAGTAAGGGTTGTAGATCCAATATAATCTGATTCAAGTAGCTACACAAACTTTGGGAAAATATCTAGTCTCTCCAGGCTTAGTTTTCTCATCTATACCTCTTAAGGTTGCTGTAAGGATTAAAAGAGATAAATATATAACTCAGGAAGGTACTGAACATGTAAGTACTCAAGAAGCATTAACAATACTTACTAATAGTGTTAAAAAAATAAAGCACTGAATTTTAAATTAGGTTTATTTATGAAATGTTTTAAGCCCAAGCCCCATATATTAAACCATGTAACTGAAAATGAGGGTATTGAGCTCAATCATTTTTTCATTTTAAATGTTCAAATAAACCACCAGCAAAAAATTATCTAACTATAAGAAGCTAATAAAAGACAGTAAGCAAACTGACAGCTGAAAGAGCAAGAAAAGATTCCCAGCTAAACGAATGAGTCCAAAACAAAATACTGGCATACAAGATTCAAGCGTCAATCTAGAATTACAAGTTAAAAAACTGAGAAAAGGAGTGAAGCCTCTCAATATCAGCTTTTTCACTCTAGAGCTAATTATAAATGAATTCCAACTTGAAGAAAATACAGCCCAAATGAGATAGCAGGAACCAAGCAGGAATAACTTTGCACAATTCACTGCCCTAGCTAACAACCAAAAGGTGCCAGCCCAGAACTTCACAAAGAGGTCACAGAGCTGTTAATTTGAGCAAGGTGATCAAAACAGAACAGTTAAACTTAAGGCTATTACATGCCAAATGCACATATGAAATTCAAAACTGGTTAAACATGTGCACTTGCACTGCTGTGAGGGAGGAGAAAGACCATTATTGCTAAAATAAATCCTCTGTTTTAAAGTCAGGCTACATTTTTAAAGAAAAAAGCAACATTACAAAAACCTTTTGTTTTAAATTGAAACCAAATTTGTTGTCTGCCATGGAAACCACTTAACAGGAGTCAGCCAGCTTCACCTTTTACTATGAGGATAATTTATCAATGCCAAGTCATAACAAATATCCTGTACACAGACTCAATTCCATCTCTCTGACTCCCTGGCCCCCTTGCCAGGGACTCTTAACACACTCCAAAGTACAGGTTTCTGCTTTTCAGGTTAGATAAAGAAGCCATGGCTAAATATAACAATTTTGTTACCAGGTCTTGCTGGTTGCTAGAGAAGAAGATGGTGATCCATAGGGGTGAGAATGAATAACATTCTCATTAAGAAGAAAAACAGAAGAATTGGTGTTCTTCCAAACCAGAAGTCCCTTGAAATGTGCTAAATCAGTATACTTTCTCCAACATGCCCTCTATAGGGAATTAAGAGTAAGGCAAAGTGTGTTTCTTAAGTATAAAAAGAAGTTGTTTAAAACAGTACAATATGTATTTTTTTTCCTTCTTCTGAAAGCACCTCTGTTGCTAAAAAGCAATTTTAAATATCCTTAAATCATTTGTTATAAAATGTATCTCATATTCTTTGTAACAAAAAGTTTAATAAACGTATTTCCTTTCACAGATTTCTTTATTTACAAATGCTACCTGTTAAAAATATATTCTTTATGAGAAGTAATACTCATTTCCATAGTTATCAACTGTGGTATCGATGACTATGAGATTTGATAGAAAAGACAGCGCACATAATTTTTTTCAAAAATGTTACTTACAATGCTAAAATAATGTATAAAATAACATTCAAATGATGTCATAGAACAAAACACTCCTATAACCATGTGTGAAGACTGTGAGATTAAGTGACTGGTCTCCCAAAGCACTATAACCTAGGGAGCCAATTATAGAAAAAACAAATCATGAGGAATTCCAATAGTTATAAAACTTCATTTTAGATAATATCTTCTTACCATCTTTGCAAGTTTTTCCATTCTCCAGGAGTTTGACCCCAGTGGGGCAAGCACACTGATAAAAAGGCTTGACTGGAGACATCAAACACAAATGGGAACAACCACCATTGTCAATTGCACATGGATTTGTAGCTGTCAAATATAAATCACACTGATTAATACCAATGATTACTAAGTACACAAAGGTTAACAACCACAACATGAACCACTGTGATAAGCCAAAATTATTACCAAATGTCATGCAGGTGCTTAACTACCAAACCATCTGCAAGGAAAGGAAATAATCAGTATAAATTCACCAAGTATTTTGTATCCAAAGAAGAATATAAAAGAAGTAAAGCAGGAGATCCCTGCCCTAAAAGAGATTATAATTTAGTCTGTTAAACAAAATTAACAACAACAAAAAAAAGAAAAACTAAAACAAACACAAATCAAAAAACTAAGTGCTATTTTACACATTATAGACAACAAGTATAGAGTCAAATGGGAAAAAAAAACCCTGAGGTTTAAAGAATTGAAGAAGAACTTTGTGGAGGATATAGCACAAGAGCCTTTAAGGATAGGAAGGATAGGTAAGAGAACATTTCAAGTGTGGTAAAGCTATCTGAATAAAACCTTGGGGGCTATAAACGAGTTAAGATAATAAGATCAACAGTATAACTGGAGGTTAAGGTTTCTATTGACTAATAGAAACTAAAGCTGAACAAGTACAAAGAATGGGAACAGACTGAGGTGAAGGACACTGAAAGCCAAGAAAAGTAATTACGTTAACAAGCCATGCTTTGGGAAGATTAACACAGAAGGGATAAGCAGAAAAGTGGGGAAATGAAAAGCAGAGAAAACTAATTAGCAAACTTTAGAAATTATGAAAAGGGACATGTTCAAACAATATTCATAGAAAAAAAATCAACATAAGATGGAGACCAATGGAACATGAAAGGTAAAAGCAATCAATATGAAAGATAACTGTAAATTCTCAAATTAGTAAAATATAAAGGACCAACAGTGCCATTTAAAAAGAAAAACAGGAGGCCAGGCATGGTGGCTTGTAACTATAATCCCAGCACTTTGGGAGGGTGAGGTGGATGGATAACTTGAGTCCAGGAGCTTGAGACCAGCCTGAGCAAGATGGCGAGATCCTGCTTCCATAAAAAGTACTAAAATTAGGCCAGGTGCAGTGGCTCCTGCCTATAATCGCAGCACTTTGGGAGGCCAAGGCAGGCAGATCACCTGAGGTCAGGATATTGACACTAGCCTGACCAACATCGAGAAACCTTGTCTCTATTAAAAATACAAAAAATTAGACAGGCGTGGTGGCACATGCCTGTAATCCCAGCTACTCAGGAAGCTGAGGTAGGAGAATTACCAGCCTGGGCAACAAGAATGGAAGTCCATCTTAAAAAAAAAAACACCAAAAAAAAAAACACTAAAATTAGCCAGGTATGGTGGTGGCAACATATACCTATAGTCCCAGCTACTTGGGAGGCTGAGGTGGGAAGATCATTTGAGCCTGGAAGTTTGAGGCTGCAGTTAGCCGTGATCACATCAACACACAACAGAGCAAGACTCCATCTCAAAAAAACAAACAAACAAAAAACCAGGAAAATTCTCTTTTGAGGGCTATGAAGAATAAAAAAATTCATATGAGTGACTGAACGTTTTCTTTTATACAGAACAGTAACGCACACATTTAAAAACATTTTTATGGGCTCATGGTCATCAGTTTCCAACATAACACTTTCAATATTTGATTATCTCCACCTAAATGAAAAGAGCTAATATAAAGCAACACATGGTACAAACACTCTTGATTTTTGGCTATGGAATAAAATCTGAAATACACTCAGACACATGCCAGACATTTATTTACACACAAGTGCCAAATCCTTAACATTCTCATATTCCTTTTAACCCTAATTCCTTCCTCTCTTACAAGTTGTCAGCAGTCACGGTCCAAGTCATCGCAAAGGCTTACCAAAAATAGAACCAAAACTAAGGAAAATAAGATGGGAGGGCTACACAGAAAAGTTTAAGTAGGTGTTTTATTTAGCAAGCTGAGGTACTTACATTCAAATAAATTCTAGATTAACAGCGTTTTCATTTAAAAAGAAGAGGGTTTTCTTTTCCCTGAGACAGAATTTCGTTCTTGTTGCCCAGGCTGGAGCACAATGGCACGATCTCGGCTCACTGCAACCTCTGCCTCCTGGGTTCAAACAATTCTCCAGCCTCAGCCTCTCAAGTAGCTGGGATTACAAGCATGTGCCACCACACCCAGCTAATATTTTTGATATTTTAGTAGAGACGAAGTTACACCACGTTGGGCAGGCTGGTCTCAAACTCCTGACCTCAAGTGATCCACCAGCCTCAGCCTCCCAAAGTGCTGAGATTACAGGTATGATCCACTGTGCCTGGCCCAAGAGTGTTTTTTAAACACAGTCACATGAACACACTCAGCCACGTATTGAAAGAAATAACAGGAATAAGAAATTCATTTGTGTATAAGCCTAGCATATAAGCTATCTCAATTTTTAAATTATCTCTCTCTTCTCCACCTCTGTAACTGCTGACCCAAAAAAAGTGCTGAGGGGGTCTGCAGTGACAGGCTACGAATGGCCTAGGCTATTATCTAATCTGAATTATATTGTTACATTTTTCCTTTTATTATTGAGATAGTCTCACTCCATTGCCAAGGTTGGAGTGCAGTGGCACAATGTCGAGTCACCGCAATCTCCACTTCCTGGGTTCAAGTGATTCTCCTGCCTTAGCCTCCCAAGTAGCTGGGACTACAGGTACACACTACCACACCCTGCTATTTTTTTTTAGTAAAGTCAGGGTTTCGCCATGTTGGCCAGGCTTGCCTCAAACTCCTGACCTCATGTGATCCACCTGCTTTGGCCTCCCAAAGTGCTGGGAGGCCAAAGCAGGTGGCCTTTTTAACTCTTTTTTTTGTTCCCACCAACTACCTTTGGATATGCCCTCCCTCCTCCTGATCCTCACTAAAGCCAGACATTAGAGTGCTACAAAGCTGTTCCAAATCGCAATTTAAAAATCAAGGATCACTTACCATTTGGTTGCCTCTGTTGGCTGAAGACATGTATATCCATGGGAGAGAAGATGTTAGAATGGATTTCATGCAGACCCTCACCAGTATACTTGTTGCAAGCCAAAATGGAGTGTGTGTTCCAGTCAGTCCAGTACAATGTGTCCTCAAATAACGTCAAGGCAAAAGGATGTGGAAGGGAACCTTTAACCACTGCCTGCCTATTAATGCAAAGAAAAATTCAAACTTATTTCTAAGTTTTCTTCTTCTATCGTAACGTCACCTCTCTCATTAAAATGATCTTAGTCCACATTAACACATACAAATCTTGAGTAACACGTACCTTTAGGTCAAATATACCTATAAAAAATAATCCACATGATGAATTCATATATGTTTTTTAAGGTGTCCAAAAACTCCAAACAAGTACTTCGAAATGGCCCCTAACTTGGCAGCAGGCTCAAGTTCAGTACAAGATACCCGGCAGAGAGACAGCACTGCTTTTTCATTGTCTGCACTGCTGTCAAATCCCACTGTTCAACTACCATCTCTGGACTCAAAGCTTCCATCCTTTCACTTAATTCATGTCATCAGACCAAAAAGGGTAAGTAATGAGAAAAATCACAGGGGTTACAATTGGCACTGAAATAGACTTATATCAGCAACAGGTTGTTTTCCTTCTTGATATGGAAGAACAAAGAATCTGAGCCCGTTTTGTCCATCACTTCTTATGGTTTTGATAACTGAGAATGAAACATAAACATGAGGCCAAAATGGCATACAGGTAGCACTCTCCCTGCAAACCCCCATCTAGCTCCAGCAAATAATCATCTTAGCTGGCTTTTCACTATATTCAGGCAGCCAAAAAGAAGTCCTGCCACTGGCAGAATATGTTCAGGAGATAAAGCAGAACCAACATCTTCACAAGCAATACATACTGTTTAAAAGCAAAAGTAGACAGTCTGGTTAGTACTTAAGGCACAGAACTTTGTAGAGTATCAGAGAGAGTTATGGAATAAGCAAATGCTCTGGAATAATGAACAAATCATGATTTGAGTCAAATTTAATATTCAAGAAAATATATGCTTTGATCTTTTCATAAATCCAAGTTTTCCAATAGCCCACCCAGGAGGCAGAGATGGGCAGAGGAGGAGGAAGGGAAAAAAAAAAAAAAAAAAAAACAAAGGGAAAGAGGAAAGGAAAACAGAAGCTACTGAAGAGAAATTAAAAGTATCATATGTCTTAAGGAAGACGATTCAATTTTCAGGTCCTTGAGGTTAACTGATGATTTCTATTATCTAACAGACTGCCAGTATATTAAATCAAAAGCAATTAAGATCATTTTTATGTGCAAGCAGAATTAGCATCTGTGATTGCCCATGGAACGGTCTTAGTCTAAAGCATTATAAATTCAGGCAAGATACCTGCACTACCAACCCATATCACTAGTTTTCTCATTTTCCTTAATCCTCTCTTCCCTAAGTAAAAAGACTACTATTCTCTCTCATTTCCCAAAGAGAACTGCCATAATGCCTACTCCTGAAGTTTTCTTCCACTTTTTAAATGGACAGTTTTAAGTTTACTAAAGAGACTATATTCTTTACAGGGTGACAGCACAGTTCACATCCAATTTTAAACAGACCTGCATATTTCACACTAAAGTCTTCTAAAATTCTTGGTAAGACACAGATAGAGAACTGAGGAGGCTGCCAAAAAAGACAAGTAACACAAATGAAAAATAAAGAGTAGTTAAAACTAAGTTACTTGGCACTTCAACTATCTTAAAAAACTGCTTTGAAAAACTCGAGGGGAAAAAAGCCTTAAAACAGTTCTTAGTATATCATTAAATGAAAAGTTAAAATTCACTCTACTGAACTAAATAGGAAAATAAACATGCAGAAAAGGCAAAATTTCCAAAAGCGATACTCATTTTATATACTAATTGAATGCATAAAATTAGAAATCAGAGATGAGCTTAAATCCCCACTTGACACTTACTACTGAAACCATTTCTCCAAGTTTTATTTCTTCATCTGTTAACGAAAGGTAATAATTTATTCTCACTGAGTCACTGTGAAGATTAAATAACATATGCAAAAGCCATTTGGCACAATGCTTGGTACTTAACACTTTCATTAATGATTCCTCAATTTTAAGACAGGTATTTTCAATATTTCAACATTTCTGATATAAGGGTAACATTTTACAATGTGAACATTTCATATGGTAGTTTTTAAAATCAGTAAGTTCTTAAAAATCAATGGCTTATTAAGATCAGTAAATACTATACTAACTTTTTTTTTTTGAGACCAAGTTTTGCTCTTGTCTCCCTGGCTGGAGTGCAGCGGCACAATTCTGGCTCACTGTAACTTCTGCCTCCTGGCTCAAGCGATTCTCCTGTCTCAGCCTTCCAAGTAGCTGGGATTACAGGCGGGCACCACCACACCCGGCTTATTTTGTATTTTCAGTAGAGATGGTGTTTCACCATGCTGGCCAGGCTAGTCTCAAACTCCTAACCTCAGTTGACCTGCCTGCCTTGGCCTTCCAGTGCTGGGATTTCAGGTGTGAGCCACCGCACCTGGCCCTAACATTAAATTTAAATGTCCCTTTATTTTCATAGCCTTTCTTAATTTCCTCCCACCACAAGCCAAGTTTCTATATGTTCTCGTAACAGTTAGTAAACTGTTTTATAACTGTTTACCTATCCAACGACTCTATAACAGATAGCCTTTTTGAGAGTAGAACTCTAGCTTATTTATATACCAAGGATCTCACACAATGGTATGTGCACAAATTAGATACACTTCCTAAACACTCTGTGGATGCTTGATAAAATGTTTTTAAGAAAATACGTAATTAACAGAGCTCAACAAAAGGCAGAACTAAGAACACTATCATGCAAGGGTGATATAATGATTTGTCCAACCAAGGAGTCGTTTCATGACTTGTTCTTGAAAGTAGAGATAACCATACATGGTCTTCTGCTTTCTTCTCTCTAGCTGAGATTACCAAGTAAGCCTACCTCCTGATCCCTTTCTGGAAACACAAGTTACTTCAAGGAGGAGTCGATCATGGCTGCTAAGAACCAAAATGGCAGGTAAGATCCAAGCCCAGTTCCTCAATAGTAGGTCACAACAATAACAGAAACTAAAAAGTGAAGCTCCACACTGGAGACCACAGGAAAGAAACCAAGACTCCCTGCAACCTCACTGATGTTTTCACATAGTGCCTGCAATCTCTGAACCTCATCTCCTGCTTGTCTATCATATTCTGCAACTTACTGATAAAGCTCACCCCTGCCAATACCTCCTAAGTACCTCTTGCTAGCTCTTTTAGATTCTTTAAACTTTGAAAGGTGGTTCTTTTGAACTCTGCACCAACTGGACTTATCCTTATAAAACACCTGCATGCCCTCATTCACTTTTTGTTTCTGGACCTCCTTCCAGATAGTCATCTTCTGCCCCTCTCTCAGAACCGCCCACTTGTGTGAGTAATAAATCTTTCTTTAATCATATCACATGACTGCTGTCACAAGTTCTGACATCTGAACTTAACCTTGGAAGGAAGCTTCCCTTCACCACAGTGAATTTGTAATAGTATCTAAAAAGACAACGTCAGCAGTGATGGCAGGGCTTTTGAAAAATTTCCACAAATCCTCCACATAAATACAGAAAACACCTTCGTAATGAACCCCAAACCCCATAGACGAAATTTACAACAAAGCTAGGTAAAACCCAGGATACAAAATGGTACAGAGAACTTCCAACAGTCATTAAGGTATGACTGATTTTGGCACCTCTGCAGGATATGAGAAAGAAACGATAGGACATCTGCAGGACAGAACATACAAAACAGATAACACTGGGAAGCTCAGTAAACAGCAACCAGCTATGGGCTCTGGCCACTTCAAAGAATACAATGAATTCATGGTCAGGCACTGAAAGATCTAGCACTATGTTTTAACCTACTGTGAACTCTCAAAATTGACCTTCCTGGGCTCCCTTCCAGACAAAGCCCCATAATGAAGAGCAATCACTGCAAGCAGACTGAAAAGTGTGCATGACTGGTATAGGAGAAACAATGGAAAAATAAGGTACAGAAAAAAGCAGAAGGAAAGTGGGAGAGCAAGGAAATTCCAGAAAGCTAGCTGCCATAGTTTTTAAAGGCAGCACACAGACATAAGAGTTCTGTAAAACTTATGATGAACTCTGCCTTCTTCTGTATGTTCAAGCAAAACAGTTTCACCTGAAAATAAGAAAACAAAGTACTAAGGTCAAATCCCATTCAAGTTATATCAAAAATAAGAAAAGGATAAAGTGAAGAATAACATCCCTACAGACAATGAAAGTATACCCGGGCCAGTCACGGTGGCTCATGCCTATAATCCCAGTACTTTGGGAGGCCGAGGAGAGCAGAACACGAGGTCAGAAATTCGAGACCAACCTGGCCAACATGGTAAAACCCTGTCTCTACAAAAGATACAAAAATTAGCCGGGTGTGGTGGCATCGCCTGTAATCCCAGCTACTCGGAGGCTGAGGCAGGAGAATCACTTGAACCAGGGAGGCAGAGATTGCAGTAAGCCAAGATCATGCCATTGCACTCCAGCCCAGTCGACAAGGAGAGACTCTGTCTTAATTTTTTTTAAAAAGTATGCCAGAAAGATATGGAACTAGAACAAATTAAATTGGTAACATTTCAAAACAGCCAAAGTCTTTAAAATAAGATACTAGTCATAAATGAAGAACACAAATTAGAATCAGACACCTCAGAAGTGAGGTGATAGAACTTGATGAAAGAATGAGAAATAAAAAAAATACATCACTTCAGAAATGAAGTCTAAGAAATAATATAAGAATGAATAAACATAATACATAAAGAAAAAGAAATGGTGAAAACGAATATTACAGAATAAAAAAAGATTTTTTAAAAATAAAATATTTGAAGGACAAAGGACAAGGGAGAGAACGGAACTACACTGGAACAAGGAAATAACTCCAAATAGTAATTTGAACCCTCAGGGAAAAATGAATACCAGAAACAATAAATGCGTAGGTTAATACAAAAGACTTTATAAATAATATTTTCTTTTTCCTTTATAACAGATGTAAGATTGTATAAAGCAATACTTAAAACCCTGTATTAGACATAATAGAAATGTAATATAAACGACAATAACAGCACAAAGGATAAAAGAGAGAATAGAGATATACTTAAGGTTTA